TTAAGTAATGCCCCGAGTAAGAACTAGGGAAGCAAACGGCACAGGAATGCAAGAAGGTGCTAATTGCGCATTGTATAATCCATCCATCCCATTGGTTAAAACATGAAAATCTGCTATAATTTCACAAGTTAGCGAATTTTCTAATATTTTATTTAATGTCTGTTTTCGCTTTCATGAAAGCTTTCTTTAGCTTTAATATTAAGGCAATTCTACGTGGGGAACATAGCAAATTAGAAGCATCTTTTGGCTATTGTTTTGAGTGCTTATGATTGGATAAGAGCTTTTAATACAAAAGAAACTTTGTTCAAAAATAGAGTTTATCCACATTTTATTTCAAAAATGTGTTACCCACAGATGGATACATAATCAGTGTGAAAACCAAGACATTCGTACATGGGGAACTTGCTATGCCGCAGAACAATAGAGAGTTCCCTAGTTCTTTAGCGCATTGTTACTTAAGTTACTTTGTTATTCAACCTGTCACCACCATAAGATAATGGATATAACCTGTTGGTCGGATAGTCTAGTTGCATTGGCATGTATTTGTCACCCGAGCAAAAAATGAAAGGTTTTCAAAAAAAATCGTTTCCAAGAAATTAAGGAGCATGTTCCCCGAGCACATTGCCGCTATACTATTGTCCAGGGAAGGATAATGTCACCCGATGAGAATCCGGCCAGAACTAATACATAGCCAATTATGGTGGAAAGGGCCAGAATGGCAGAATGGCTCGCAGATGATCGTTGTTGTATTTTCTTTATTGTTCTTGCGCAAGAACCATTCAAATTTACACAATTTCTTAAGCTACAAAATCCACAATGGCCCATCATGACAGCAACATTCAGTTCGTTCCGTATACATTCTCAAACTCATTAATAATTCATGACTTCATAGTCCAATCGGATGTTTRTTWTAGAGTCACGTGCATACCCTTGGATACCATGATCCAACATCGAATGCTAATTAGTTCCAAACCCGTGTGTTTAGATATCCAAATCCATGTGTTTGGATATCCAGACACATGGGTTTGGAACTCATTAACATAAATTTGCTAGGCTCTTAAAACTTCTCCGTTACTTTTAACCACTTATCTTTTTGGGGTGTTTTTTTCTCTTCTTCTTACTTCTCTAATCTTTATTTTAACTAATCAATTTTTTGKTAAGTTATTTTACTATATTATATTAACTACTTCTTACCATTGGAGTGGCTCGAACCGGTGACCTTTGGGTTGAGAGTCCAGTGCGTGACCAACTTAGTTAGTGATTATTTTGTTGGTATAGGGTATTGGGTTTGACGTATTATTTATATTTCTCCTTGTGGCTATGTTAACTTATTACATGTAGAAAATCGATAGATCTATATTTGCTAAAGAAGCGATTATACTTTATAGTTGTCCACGATACATTTAATGGTCAGTTTTTTTCATTCTTATAGAGATGTRTACACATTTTGCATATTTTGTACTCATCTTTTATTCTTTATATTTATTCTATGAATACTTCATTCATATTTGAACATACATATTGAGGTTTTTTGTAATACACATTTATGACAAATTGATCACTGGGTTTACTGGAGCATTGGATGATATGCGTTTCTCCCTCTTGTCGCCTGCTGACCGGCCGGGTACTGTTGATGTACTCGTGGTCATGGTCGAACTCACAGGYTGCGATCCGACATGTCCGAGAACGTTTGACACTATCTTGCATACGTTTGTACTTGGTTTTTCGTAATGTCTACACATTTGCCATGACATGAAAATTTCCACGGCCCACTTCGTTTTGTATTGTAGATTGTGGCGTAGCTTTTGACAATAACTCAGCATCTTCTTCTCGAGTTGTTGGATCTCGAAAGCTACACGCGGAGATTGCCTCCGCCATTTCAACTTATGAAATATATTGAACTGAATAAACAGAACTACTACAAATTTATTACAAATCTGTCTCCTTTGGGGTTTATATATAATAGCGATTGATGATGCCACTTTCATTCTATTCATACCCAAAATAGGACTGATGAATAAATCCAATTACGGTCTTTAAGGAATTTGCCAGCTGAAGTCATTCATTATCAATTTGTTTGAGAAATCAGATCAAAAACTCGTGCTTCGTGTTTCATCAGGGGAATCCAAACATCTCGAAACGCTAAAAGCACTTGGCCTTCGGCCGCGTGCTTTCATCTGTTTCTCGGTGTTTGGATCCCCTGATGAAACACTCGCACTCGTTTTTGATCTATTACATCTCAGACTCGTCGGTGATGTGCACTCCTTCTAGGTGATCCAACATACTCGGTTGAATGCAGATAGGGTCAATAGAAGCTAAATTGATTTTTTTTTTCAAAATTCAATTCAAAGAATAAAGGCACATTTGCACTTGGTAACAAAGAATGTTGTCTGTGAAGTAACGAATGCTGCAAGTGACTTTGGCTCCAAYAGTTCCATAATTATGTTCATATGCACCACACAAATTCCGATAACGGTGCTATTGGCTTTGACAATGTCTTTGGACATCCCAGTCTTAGAAAGCATAGAATGGGTATGATGACAGCATGGCACCGGTATCGACCTTGCCTTTAACACTGATATTATTTCGGGGATCGTGCTGAATGAAGGTTAAAGATGCGCTTCCTTGTTCGAGAGATGGGGCTTAAGTCAAATTCATCTTCATATTGTGGCGTATATTAAAATGATGAAACAACGGCCATGTACGAACAAGAATATTTTACTATAAACATCAAGTTCCTAGCGAAAAAATAAATACAAAGCTTCAACACAACTACTACAGGAATATTAATTTACAAACGAATATCAATACTTACAATACATTTAGGCCTACACGGGGAACATCATATCCTCGAAAAATCGACACTGCACTAATTCATCTTCATATTGTGGCGTATATTAAAATGATGAAACAACGGCCATGTACGAACAAGAATATTTTACTATAAACATCAAGTTCCTAGCGAAAAAATAAATACAAAGCTTCAACACAACTACTACAGGAATATTAATTTACAAACGAATATCAATACTTACAATACATTTAGGCCTACACGGGGAACATCATATCCTCGAAAAATCGACACTGCACTCAGGCAGACACATAGACGCTCACTATAATAAATCTACTACAGGAATCAAAACACTAAACTATGAATAAATTACTACGTAAATTGTTCAACAAAAATTCACTAGGGACACGTTAAACAAAAACTATATCGATGCATCAACATGAGTATCAGCTGTTGGAGCAGCTCTTGAGAACTGTTTATGCGTAGGGCAGGGTCTTCATTGAGAGTGCTTCTGTTAATGACTCTGCGTGGGCACCTAAGGTAAAGGACTCAGCAGATCGAGAAGTACAGCAAAGGGACTTACTTCTCTCTGAAGCAAAAGTCTCAAGTACTTCAATGAACAGYACGGCGTCATTTCAGCTACAAGACCGATGAAACTGAAGAATAACCATGTGGATCCTTAAATGATCAAGACAGCATCCCAAACATTGGTATAACTTAAGTGCAGAACAATTGAAAGTGGCAAAGGGGGCCCTGATAAGACAGACACAGAGAGATCTTTCCAAAATGAAATAGCGTCTCTCATGAATAACAATCAATTTGCTAGAAATAGTACCATAGTAAAAGTAGACCCACAATTCGATGAAGATAGAGATTTACTCGTGGTTGATGTCCGTCTACATTTTGCTCAAGTCCCTGAAGAAAGCGAAGCATCAGATAATTATCCCTCTCAGAACCACTCTATCAGAGAAGCTGATATTACACGAACATACCAAAGCTAACCATGCAGGACCAGAAACAACGCTTGCTATTCTAAGACAAAGATTTTGGCCAACTCAAGGTCGACGTGAGGTGAGTGAACAGAGTATTGCGGGAATGACTTGTTTGAAAACACTGGAAGACGAAACCAATCGAGCAGAGGATAACTCCCCTCCCAAAGAGAGAGTGCAGATTGCACCAGCTTTTGTCATCGGCACGTGATGCGCGTGAAGAACACAAAGAAATATATGGAGAGCTAAGACTGAATTTACTCGCTCCCTAGGTCAACTAAGTCCTTCAAAACTGCCCAGTTGACTCCATTTTGTGGTGCCTAATGTTTGTAATGAATGGTTCTTTCAGAATTGGAATTCAAAGGGAATTATCTCACTTCGATTTCTCATTTGCATCCTTGATATTTTGATAGACTTTGCCTACACGGAAACATGGCGGTCAAAGCCGTCACTTGATCTACATCACATGGAGAATTCAATGTACAAAATAGTGGACGATAAGATAAAAYGTCGGTTTTGATGATTATTTATCGAAGATATATTCACTAGATAAAGAAAGATCTTAGGCTTACCATTCTATGTTTTTAATTAATGAAGCGATATCAATGTCAACATACACTCAAAGCACTAACTTATCGGATGGACGATTTGTGCGAATAATCATGTCTGGTTGACTGAAACTTTATACTTAATTTTCAATAARTAGATTTGGTATTCATTGGGCTTTCTAGCTACTGCACATCTTAACTGACCACGAAGAAAACGACTGAATCCACAGAAGCCGAAAATGTTCGGCAATTTCAAATACTATTATTATCATTATTGTTATTATATTCCTATACCTTCCCGTAAACTTTTGAATTCAATAACAGTTTGATACATACAAGCAGTTAACAGTAGCACGAACAAAAGACTCATTTAGATGATTCAGTCAAAAAGTCCCCCATGGTCACCTAACATAAACGTGATGACCAGAAACAAAATATATCAAATTGAAATATGAAGAATGTGTTTAATTACTATTGCTTAATTCAGGGTAAAACTCGTTTAATAAAATTCGATAGAATCATAATAAATCYATTAAGTATTGGAAGTATTGCTTGACCTGAGCTAAGGCACGATTAAAAGACTGCCTTGGGTTTAAAACCAAACCGGACTTTATAAGCCAGCACCACTTATCTCTGTAAGAAGTTGAATTATAACAAAAGAATARCTCTAATTCTCTTTGTACTTGCCCTTTTCATTGATAAATAGAATTAGGCAAGAAAATCCGGTGCTGCACACTTTTGGATGTAGTAAGCGTTGCCCTTRTTTTGATCTTTTTTGGCGTCGCCCAATTGCAGATGAGACCAAAACTCAAGGAGAAGTGAATTTACAAACACATTATAATAGTGGATGATAAGCTAGGTAAAATGTCGGTTTTCTCGAAGATATATGAATATATATTCACTAAATAGAGAAAGACCCATCTTATGCTTGCTTACCGTTCTGGGTTGTCTTAAATGAAGCGATTTSAATGTCAACCTACATCAAAGCACTAACTTTGTCGACTAACGATTTGTGCGAATTATCATGTCTGGTTGACTGGCCGTGGTWACTGTAGTRTATCTAAAATAACACAAGGGAAGCTTGACGAGCAGTCAAAATACCTCGTGACCTTTATAACGCTGTGGGKACGATATTGCTACAAGCGGTTACCGTTTGGCATTTCAACAGCTTCCGCACACATCCAAAAAAGCATGCCGAGAATTTTCGAGGTTTTGCCAGGGGTCGTTTTATCAAGTAGATGACGTGTTTGTGTACAGTGAGTCCCCGGAGGGGGGACTCCGGCTGGGGTAAAAGTATCGGGGATGCTCGTCGGAAATTTTCGAAAGGATCACTAAAAGATCACGATAATCTTGAAAAAAGGGCGCGGCTGACTGATTTTTAATCCCTAAGAAATTGCATAAAAACAGTTGTTAAATTAAATCAGTACCAGTGATAAAACGCAGAGGAAAATCAATATCGATGCGTTCTTTCTCTTTTTTTCCGACACCCTAAGAGATTGCAGAAAATGCAAAATCCAGAAACTCCAAATTGTCACCCTAAAAGATTCCAAATCAAGAATTTTTACCCCTAAGAGATCCGACGAGCATTCCGGGGGGATAAAAATAGCACAGCGAGAGTCTAGACGCAGTCTTCACCTGGGTACAGGATGCCAACGTTACCCTGAACGAAGCGAAAATGTGAGCAAGACAACGTAAAATTTCTGGGACACATCGTTGGGAAGGAAGGCATTAAGATCGACCCAAGTAAAMCAAAAGCAATTCAAGAGGAAGCCACCGTCAACCTTAACACAGTCAAGACGTTTTCTCGGCATGGTAACAGCAAACCTCACAAAACCATTGAGAGAACTGTTAGTGAAAAACAAYCTTGGCTATGAGAACAAGCTCAGTCGGACGCCTTTCCAAGCCATCAAAGAGAAGCTAAGCTTCCGCCWACGCTTGCTATCCGCGATCCAGCACTGSAGACAATTTTGTTCGCAGATGTTTCTTATTATGGCMTTGAAGCAAACCTAAAACAAAATCACGTGAACGAAGGATGGAAGACCGTTGCCTTCATATTTAGAGAACTCACGCCAACCGAGAAGAGGTACGCTCAGATAGAAAAGGAAGGCCTACCTATCACGTGGGCTTGCGAGAGGTTCCAAGACTATTACTCATCGGTATGACCTTACATATCGAGACGGATCGACAGAGCTACCCCCAAGAATTCAACGGATGCGGTTGATGAGATTTGACTTAAATATTTTCCATGTACMGGGGAAGAACCTCACTGCCGCCAACAAACTCTCTAGAGCTCTTGTCAGTAACAACCACTCCAATCTCGATAAGGAGGTATAAACTATGTCAATCACATATACTCGTTACTACCAATGTCCGACGATCGTTTAGAGCGTATGAAAGAGGTGCAACAAAAAGATGAGGTGTKTCGCTTGGTGACACAATACACAAAAGTTGGATGGMCAGAAAGAAAACGACTGCCAAGTTCATTAGAGCCATACTGGCACTTCAGWGACGAACTTTTTATCGATTCTGCACGGTCTATTACTCATGCTAGACCGAATCCTCATTCTGTTAGAGATGAGTATATG